ATCGGCGAAGGGGGTGGTAGGCCTGTGGGCATGCTCCCGGGATTCCATACGTTGGGTGACATGTTCATCATCTGACCCTTTGCGGCTGCCATCGTATTCAATAGCTGCGGGTCTGCTATTGTCGTAAATTCATCCCACGCGACCCCGGCGTCCATCGGTGGATGTCCAGCAAAGTCTCCTGGTCCCATAGGTCGGTCTAGTTCGGATCAGTTAATGAATGTGTCTGGATTGCAGGGCAGAGATGATAATCTGCATGACACAAACCTACCTGGCGTTAGACTCATGTTGGTTTGGACCATTCCGACGTTGTACGTTGACATGTCCTGCGCGGACGAGGTATTCATTGGCATAGGCTGGTATGGATAGAAAGTCTCGGCGGGATCGGGCATCAAATTAGGTGGAGAGGAAGCAATTGGTGTAGTGTTTGAGCGCTCGGTTGAGGGTGTCTCCAATCTCGAGCTTGGTCGTGATTTCTTTTCAATCGGTGGTTGTTGGTCCACTGGAAAAAACTGACAGTCCTTTCGCAATCGAATGCAGTTTTCACATCGTCCTTCCGTATCATCTGGCGCTACAAGACATCGGATCTTTCGTCGTCGACAGTGCACTGTAAAGGTATAAGTAACATGATCACATGCAAATACACCACACTCGAAAGGAGGGTTTTTTTTTTAAATTTCCTGATCGACACATTTTCGCACAATGGACACGACGGAAAGAGAGAGGCGAGCAAAAAAGACGATGGGTGTTTAGGATTTATTACTGACCACATGCGACAGAGGTTCGATGATATCCTAACTTATTGCGCTTCTTATCATTTGCGTCCATGGCGCTTTGTGAATTTGCTGATGCCATTTGGTCGACAGCTGCGGGCATAGCTCCCACGAGCACGGTTCTGTCGCTGTATCGGTTGAAGGTGCATCAAAAGCCCTGGCAAAGCGAAAGGCGTGTTTTGCGAAGCAGCCAGTTGAGAGTACGTCGAGGCGTGATCAAAGTTGAATGCGACAAGAATCTGCGCAAGCCCATACAGACGCAGAGAGAGGATAACCGAGAGCCTCCAGAGAATGACGCTGCAATTCTTGGGTTCTGATCCACATGCGCCACACTGGACCAGGTATGATATTGCGCGCGTTTCAGAGCGAGGATGTTTGGGCGTATTGTTAGGGCCCGCCGCGTGTCTCAAAGTATAGAGGTGTTGCAATATGGTCGAGGATAGATTGGATTCTAAGTTCGGAGTCCCGTATTTCCCCAAGTCCAGTAATTGCGAATTAATCAATGATAATTATAGTAATGTGTTGGAATGCCGGGGATTTGAACGGGGTTAGGGCCTAGAAGTTTATGGCCCAGTTTGAGATCGAAGAAACCACACTAGGAGTCAAACGATAATAAAAAGAGATTAGTAAGAAAAGGGTAAAGGGAAAAAAGAAAAGGAAAATAGGTCAAAGGAGCGAATATGAAGTGAACGGTGTGAAGAGAAGAAGAGCAGATCGAAGATGGTAGGTATAGTCCAACAGGTAGAAGCTAATCGCGGGGTGAAACGCCCAAAGGTCTTTTGTTTTATTTTATTTTGGTTTTTATTTTGGAGATTTTTGATTTAATTTAATTTTCACCAAGTATGTATATCACGCCGTACGTGGAACAAGGTGGCTCTCATCCCAACTAAGACTAACACGGATGTATCGACTTAGCCCAAATCAACTGCAGGTCATTGTCAATGGATGATCAGTTCAGGGGCCCGCGGAGAACTTCCCTTAATGCTCTAAACTTACATAGTGTGCATTGTAGATTTCACTTGAATGGAGGTTTATTTCTTATTTTCTCTATTTTTTTTTCCATCTATTTTTTGCCTCTGTAGTTCGTTTTTTAAAAAAATTCCTGTCAGCATCAGATTGGTCCTTGATTAGGTAACTTTCCAATGCCCCTGATTGCGTACTATAGACCCGGTTCTTCAAATGAAGAGACGAGGAACCATGGTCTGGGAGCGCTGACAACAGTGGGGATGTGTGGATGTTGGTGGTCGCTCAAAGTGTACAGTACCATTTAGGCTTAGGGCCAACAAGGATACCTGTCAATCATTGATGAACTGGGGAATACTTCCTTCAAGCCCCGACTAGGTGATTGGTGACGCGAGTTTAGGTCGGCACTCAGAACCAATAAGCTTGTTGGTTTGAGGGTCCATAACGAAGAACCTTCTGTCTCCGGTTATTTCAGAGGCTGATCCCTAGAAACCTTGAGGGCTTCTCGAAGGGGAGTTGTGCAGTTCGATCTAAGCGATACCACATGGCCTTCTGGAAGACTAGACATTCGGCTATCCCATATTTCTTACTCCGTTACTCCGTAAGAATCTGAAACGAACCATCGGTTAATTTGTGCTAAAAACAGATTCAGGGTCCACGACCGATGTGTATCAGGTTATTGGTTGTTTTAACTGATTTCTTTTTTATAGGTTATTTAATATAGCGTTCTAAAAAAATCTTCTTTTGCCCCTTTTCAGTTTTAATCCCTATTTAGCTGGTATAATTATCCAAAAAAGACTGTCACAAGATATCCATGGAAATAGTGGAGTTGAACCAATCAGTGATGCCAGACCATTCTTCATCCAATGTACCTTGGGTGAGAATTCTTGCTATAGTATAATAATAGGTCAACAATTTTAATTGTTTCAACGTGTTTGATATGGAGATTCCAGGAACACATACGTGGCACTTCTATAAAATATAGCATTGTACTTTGGAAACCAATCGGTATACAAAGGCAAGCATCTACACAGCCCTGAACTACACCTAAGTGGGATAACGTCCGAAAGCCTTAACTGTACAAATAATATAAAAAATATACAACATAGGTAACATAATGCGAATTGCAAGCGATCTCGAGAGTGGGCCAGTCAAGGTTTAATTAAGGATCATCTCGACCTGTGGTAGCGTGTTACAGGTTAGTCTTGGCATTCATATGGGGCTCATTCGGGGGTTTTTCTTCTCCCTCGGCTTCCTCAGCTTCTATGGATACTCAAAGTGTGGAAAGATTCTGAAAGGAATCGTGGGGAATTGGTGAATCAGTGAACCGGTGCTTATTCTATACAATATAGTTAATTTACATCCTCGAATTCAAGGGGATAAAAAAAAAGGGGTGACTATTAACTTCCACCGGTTAAACTAAACGTGTCAACCCCGTGGCTTGAGGTATAATCTTCTGGTAAGTGGACTGGAGTGGACAATGATCTTCATACTGTTCTATGGTGTATCACGTCAACAACATCCCTCAAGGTCAATAAACGCCACCGATCACCGTGCTCTCTCGTGCTCTCCAAGCCACTTGACAACGTACAGCAGACAGCATACCTGAGGAGTCCAATGTATGATGTACAATATATGTATCTTGGAACTTTTCAACTCAAGGGGATGCTTCCACCGCTATTTTGCGAGAAACTACAACATTATACATACATCCCCTCGCTCTGGCCCCACAGCTCAGCACACACTGGTCAAAGATCGACGAGCACGGATCTTGAGAAATGCACATGAGCCGATACTATTGGGTCACACAACAGACTCGTTGGAGTTGGAGTCTGCAGCTAATCAGCTGCTTCGTGACGCGGCGAATGTTGATTGCGATAGATCTCGCAGTACATAGTGCAAGGCAGTAGTGCGAGGCAACCGACTCGACCGCTAACCATACAACCAATATATCAAATGCGTACTCCGTATATATGCAACATATATATTATGTACTTTGTAGTAGAAAGGTCCGTAATCGGAATTTGAATCCAAGCCCCAACGGGCGCGTCATTGTCGATCGGGAAATTGTTTAAACTGAAACAGGGTCCAGGAGCCAGATCTTGATCTCAGCCAAGAATACACCCATGTGGGTGGAGAGAAGAATCATTTAAGATGTCGGTTAATCACCGTCTTTACTAGTCTACTTAGGTAGTTTAATATTGTAATTTTATAGTCCTGGGAGGTTTTTATTGTATCCGAGAAATATTTACTTTTCCTTTCTGGGATTAGTGTAAAAAGCCCTTTTTCCCCCCTGCCAAACCCCAACTGCCGAGCTCCGCAGTGGCGTGCAGGTATACGCTACGCTACAAGCTACCGTTCTTTGGGAAACTGCATATCCGATGCGCTTTTTTTTTTGTACTATGATCGCTCGCGTGATATGCTTTCGGGGGTAGTGCTAATTTAGAATGTCTATTCCGTACTTAGGTAGGCTCTAAATTCCCAGAGAGTATTGGTAAGGCTTAATTTGTCCAAGAGAATGCATGTGCACAAATGTATAGTTATGCAGAGAAGATGATATGATCTAATATGTATGAGAACCTTGGAAGAAGAGCTATATTGTATGTATGCAGAGAATATGATACCAATGCCCTACTTTGATATACAATTAGGGTTTTTAACTCTCCCTACAATATATATAGTAACACACTTTGTAAAGTATATGAGATCGGAGATCTCCCTGTGGACCAAGTAATGCAGGGACCTCACTGGTCATTCAGCTTTGGTCCGGCTGTTTCACCATCTTCGGGGCCCTTGACTCCATTCGGTCGTCGGCTCCAAGGGGGGAGCACCCTTTTTAACCTGCAACCTGCCTTACGCGTCCTCCCAAGAAAAAACCCATCCCTCTCTCCATTTTGCCCCTATCATGATTCGCGGCGTTTTTAATTTTTAATTTTTTTTTGTTTTCACTTGAAGAAGAGGAAGGTGGTATTCACTGTTTTTCTAGGCGTCCAAATGGCGCAGAAGGGCTTTTTTCCCCCACTCAACAGCCTTGGATTTCTCTCTCACGGCTTCTCCGGAGAGAAAGGTCCGTTGAAAGCCACAGGCCTTTCCAATTCCAAAAAGGGGCCAATATCCGCTTGCTTATCCCAATACTGGAGAACAATGCAATTTGCGCGATGGCTTGTGTTTCGCCCTCCCCTTACTCCGTACAGTGCCTACCCCCCGAATTGGGCCTGAAGTAGGCTACATGCGCGACCAATTTCTCTTCAATTTGGAAATGTCTTCTCATTCGCTCACTCGTACCACAACCACGGCGTCAATGGCTCGAGCTTGCCTGATTGAACACGCGACACAACATGTCACACGAGTTCCCCCGGAGCGACTTATGATCGCATGGCACCCGACAGCAGCACACCACGCCCGAGCGAATGTTTCCCTGTCTCGGGTGCCCCGCGCGTCGATGACAATAATCTCTGGCGCTTGAGATGTCTCTCCGCGTGGCGATGATGGCAATTGCGGTACCGGGGTGTTGGAAAGGGACTCCAACGACACATACTTGTATCGATATGAGTTGTGCAGAGGATGGCCTGGTAGACGTGTATACCTGGACACAGGTCTCGTAGGCTGTTTGGTTTCATTATTCTCGCGGTCGGACTTGCGAGAGGCGACCCCCAACGGTGGACAGCATTCATGGGCGGAGATAAAGCGCACATTCCACCTGAGGGGGAAACAAACCGTAGTTGAAACCCCAGCACTATCTCTGATCGAGAACGACATGGATGCCTCAGCGGGTGTAATGCCGTTCCCGTTGGGAGGTCTGTAATCATCGACAGATAGAGTCAAAGCTTCGATCTTGACATCTGTTGCACTTGGCTCTGGATTCTCTGTTGGGAGTGTAAAGTCCTCTGCTGTGATATCTCCCATGCCTAGCGGTGTTGATTCTATGGAAAGCTTGGCTCCATGCTTGATTCGAGGCCTGCTCGAGATCTGCGGAACCTCTTCAACTGCGAATTCAAGCCATCCAGGCTTGAATATTTCCCCCGTATGAACATCCCGGGGGATCATGTCGCTGCTGATCCACCCCATGCATGTCTTAGCTCCCGCTGAACAAGACAAGACACGTCCAACAACACATGCTTTGCTCCACCAGCTCCTTTCGCCGTAAACGAACGCGCCATAGAAGTTAGCAATTGAGCCTAGTTGGGCAAGTGCATCTGCGTCATTCTCAAGGAGAGTCGCCATGAGAAGATGGCTGATCCCCTCTCCGGGTACCACGAACCCGGAGAGCCAGGATCGTGAGATCCAGCCTAAAGTTTTAGACTGGGGATCGCCAGAGCTATGAAGCTTGATGCGTCGGCGGCAGGGGTTTCGTGTGTACATATCCTCCTTGGCCAGTAACATCTCCTTGGATATTTTTTCCCGTCCCCACCTGTTATCGACGACTAAGGGTGGTAGGGTCGGATTGTTAGGGTCTCCAAGTTTGAGCTCCATGGTAGCTTTCAGTGCATCCAATCTTGGCCACCCGATGTTTTCTGCGAAGACATACAGTCCCTCCAGCTGCAGTCGAACGTGTGAAGAACTCACTTCACAGTCCCAGGCAGACTGCAGATCCGGAACAGGAGGCGAGCTGCTACGCCGAGTGATGCTATCAAGCAACGAAAAACGACGACTCTTCTCACGTGAGCCACCATTAGATGGCCCTGATGGTGGCGGCGGACAAGTGATATCAAGACTGTTGAGGAATCGGCGCACAACAATCAGATCCCAATTCAGCTTCCCTTCTCGCAGTTTCTCGAATTGTCGAAGCTCCGGTATTGTGATATGACCACCGTGCGGATCGTGCAACATGCCAACTCGAACGAACGCATCCAAGCGAAGAAGCAACTCAGCAGAGAGGAGCATCTGGATCAACAACCACTTTCGCTCCATCCCGGACCTGATCAAAATATCCCGTGGCACTTTCTCGTCATTTGACTCGGAGTCCAGACAGTCCCCGTCGCAATGCGGGGATGCCTCCCATAGGACCTGTCCAGCCCGAAAGCGCCATTCGGGGAGACTGAAATTGATCCATGCTCCTGGGGTGGCCAGGACGATTGACAGAGTTTTGATCTGGGATTTGACGCTTTGCGGATTATGTTCTAACATCTCGTGTGGAGGGTGAGGGTAAAGGAAATGCGAGTGTAAATTATCGTGCATCTTGCGCGGACTTTCAACATCCAGAATTGTCTTCGTCGATCCCTCCGAGAGAATCTCATGACGGAGTTTGCGCATATGTTCTAAGCGTTGCACGAGATATCGAAGGTTGACATCTCGTACACCAATGCGCTTCCAGGCCTCGGGGCCTTCACAAATTAGTCTATGACGATCGTACACGGCACCGCTCTGACATTGCGAATACGGTTTGTTATATCCCTCCATTAAATCGAATGCCGCCGTCGCCGCCATGGTTGAGATTTGCTGGAAAGATGGAGGGTTGATTGGCTTCTCGGGGCCAGTGTACCGGAGCGCATCAGCTACCGATAATTCAAGGAAGTGCCGGAAACCGACGGTGCCGGGTTCTTTGCCGTTGTGGGATAGCATATTGGGTACTTCGAAGATCCCGACGTCAAACGTTGCTCTGTTTACAGCGTTTGTTCGGCGGCGCCAGTCAGATACTTGAATCGGAACGCCGCCTTTGACGACCCAGTCATCTGGGACTGGCAGATGGGCGTGGAGTGTGCTCAGAGTGAAGGATGCATGTGGTAAGGCCTTGCGATCCCACATATGTTGGATTATTGGGTTCTGCTCATCCCAGGGGAAGATCACCTGGGGATACCATCGACCATGCTTGCCTTTCTCTAGAAGGAAGTGAGGTGCCCCCGACAACATTGCCTTGATATCTTTCGGTGTGAGCTGTGATTTATCTGGTGGGTTGGGGTTGGCATCAGGCGAGTTGTCTTTTGGTTTGCCCGCATCCTCCATTCTGGATTCGAGAAGATCTTGGAGATTTTGAGGCTGTCTTGGCTCACAGTGTTCTGTTGGTGGGGGAGAGTCGCGCGTAGGTGAGCTACGGGGATCTTTGCTGTCCTGTCGTCGGCCACTATTCTCTTGTCGTGGTTTGGGCGATGTGCTTGCCTCAATTGAGACTGACTTTTGTTTTCCCTTTGTTCGCCGTGAGCTAACATTTTTAAACACAAGATAGATATTCTTACTTGTGTTGCTGTTGGAGAAGGTATGTCTAAGCTACCGCTCTGCCTTCGAAATAGACTTCGGAATCCCCCGTTTGAATGCTCATCTTGGTGATGAGCGGGAATGTGGCGTTGCGATTGTGTCGGCTTGAGTGTGTTGGATTTATCGTGAGTAGATGCTGCATCTGAGGAACCATCTGAGCGGCGTCGGCCAAATAGGAAAGACATTAGACATGAGGATGCAATTATTGCATCTTCTAAATATATTCAATGCTCCGAACCAAAAAGATGTTGAAAGAGTAAATGGAAATAAGGAATAGGAATAAGGAATATAAGCACTATATGCGGAGTGCTGATCTCGGCTCCTCGGCTCGTGACGTGACCCTGGGAACGGCAATGCGGCAAGTGGGTGTGTTACCGAGTTTTTTCCGTTAATGTACAGATATAGATTAGGGGAATGTAATAGACTTGAGAACTAGATTGTAAAATAAAAAAAAACATGTAGAGCAACGGGGAGGTTAAGGAGGTTAAGGTGAACTTTGGAAAGTGATGACGTCTTGTGGACAAGAGCGGCGAGCCATATATATCCATCATCCATCATCTTTTTAAACGAAATAGAACAAAATTTCTGTATATACCTCTCAATATCTAATTTCAAGAAGAAAAAAAGAACATACATAATGTCTCCAAAATAGGTCGAACTATACGGCTTATCCTTGTTGGGCATACATTAGAAGGATGCTATGTGTACACAGGTATCTTTAGTTTCTCCACGCAGGACTGATCAATCATTCTCTCATTAGGAAATCTAGTTCTCATAGTATCATCAAACTTCCACGGTAGGGTAATCCCCAGCCTCAATTGTGCCCTTTGAGTTTGTTTACGCGTGCTGGTTGAAGAAATCCAAAACGGTCTTATATCCGCGCTCATACTCCTTACGCACCTCGGGGTTCTCCAAATCCGATCGCGCAGCCATCCAACCATGAATCTGAGACGAGAAAGTCTCAACATGCTTAGGAACCTTCAAGTTAGCCTCAAAGTCCTTGACGTCCTGGACAGGCTCGTCTCCCGAAGCGAGCAACGCCATGGGGATATTCACGACCTTTGCATCATTGGCATCCACCATAGCTGGGTGACACTGCACAGCCGCCTTGAACAGCTTGTTATCAGCGCCAGAGGACAGACAGGCGATCTTGCCGCCCCAGCAGTAACCCAGGATCGACCAGGATTGAAAGTTGCCGCCAGGAGCTAGCTTGTTGCCTTCGGCGACGACATTGGGGATCTTGGAGAGGGTCTTGGGTGGGGCTGCCTTGGTTGAGAAGAAGTTGCCGAGCTTCTCCTTGTGTTCCTGGGTGGTGGGCGGATACCATGAGATGTCGGCGGGGCTGCCCTCGAAGAAGTCGGGCATGAATACGCGGTATTTTTGGTCGGTTGAGTTGGCGAGGATGTCGGCGCCCTGAACGGTCTGGTCGAAGAAGCCGAAGATGTCTGTATCATGCAATTATATCAATTGATGGTCGGATTGTATTCCGTATGGGGAGGTAGTGACTGACCATATACGACCAGGATAGCCTTGGTGGCCGATTCTGGGCCGGTGATGTCTAGAAGTTATCTCGTTAACTCAATTCATAAGCATTCGGCGAATGTAAGAACTCACAGGTCTTCATGCCATTGATGGTCTTGTATTCTCCCTTGGCCTGGTAGCCCTTGGATACCACAGGGGGGATTCTGTGCACGGTCAGCGACGCTTAATTGGGGCATCACAAAATGCAATGGATCTGGGGATCACGAACGAGCAACAGGCTTTGCTGATTCCAGACATGGCAGAGAAGCGATAGAAGGGAGTGTTGAAGAGGGGTTTGGTTGCGAGCAACGGTCTTGGGAATGTCAGAAATGGCCTGTATTTCATTTAGACTAGAGAGAAACATACAATTGAATTCTGAATTAAAGAGTTGAAGAAAGTAGAAATGAAACTTGAGAAGGGGAAAAGTGTACCCCGCCGTTCCGACGTCATCGGAGCAACACTCGGCAATTGGATGTTGGGGAGATGCAAGCGCAACTAGGAAACCCCAGGGTTCTTTAGATCTTCTATTTTGTTCTTTCTTTTCCGAAACTGGTCTATCTGGATTTTACCGCGATCGGGTAATCTATATGGATATATATGTCCGAGCTTGGCTATAGTCGAGGTGTATGTCATTTTATATATCGACGTGAAAAGACAGCACAACTTTGGAAAGCGTTTCCAATATAAGTTGGGTTACACGCTCTATCTAGTAAAAGATTCGAAAAGCTGGGGTACTGCGTGAGCTTGTAAAGGCTCACGGGGCTTGATGTTATTACCTGCAGTAAACCAAAGAGAAGTGTCCCAGACATCACCGGGTCTAGATGAGACCAGTTGTTTATGCACCTAAAGGTTTCACCAGAGTGTCATACCAAACGCCTTTATGGGATTGATTGACGCGAGCCAAAAGTAAGGACGGTAAGTTGAATCGGTGAAGTGCATAAATAGAGCACGACGCAAGACAAAGTTGACGTCTCTCCTCATCTCTCCTTAATTCTTACACTCCAGGCAATACAATGCAAGTAGATCCACAGTCCGAATCTTGCCGCAAGGGAGGATCTCACAGCGACCGAAAGGTGCTCGTGGGGCCGTTCTCAGCGGGAAAAAAAAATATAAAAAAGAAATCCGAAGAAAATCCGAAAAAAGAACAAACGCCGAGACAGAGACTCTAGCTCGTCCTAAAGCGACCTGAACCAAATTACCTAACTTAGACAGAAAAAGAAAGATCCGTGCTCACCTTTGAGCTCGAGACCCCATCTAGCACATGATACGGAGTAAGTCGATATATAGAATATAGACCAGCCACGTTGGAAAGATAACCAAAATGTGGGCACTGAAATCCAGACATACCCAGCCCTGCAGGAAACTCATGGCCGCAGATCTCCCGTTCGAAGAAAATCAACCCTTCCACGAAACGCCATTCCCGGGACGATTCACGCCGTGAGCCTCTCCGAAGCCACCACCGGCAAGAGCCGATGCAGGCGACACTAAGGCGGTTCACGATCAGCCAAGGTGGATCCTTGCGCGCTGTCACATCTGTAGGAGCCGCCTTGCATGAGAGGAACCGACTAATCGGCTGCGAACCGTAGGTGTGGTTCAGGGATATTGCAATCGAGAGGCTGTGCGAGGGTCGATCGACCGGGAAGCAGCATAGGAGGGGCAGATCAACTGATCGTCGCTGATATAAACCATTTTAGGCAGTCGAGGTGCGGCTACAGACGCGGTGGAGGGACGAACGGCTATCAAATTGTAGACTTTTGCCAAGAGATGGGGTGTTTCTAGTGAAATGTCAGTATACTGCATAGAATGTATAGAATGTAATAGAGAAATGTTGGTCGTTTCAGAAGGGTAGAGAGAGGTATGCAGTTTAGGAATGTGACTCGGCTGATGTCTACCCCTTTTCTTTTTTTTCTCCCCCTTATCCTATTTGGAGTACACTGCAGGTTTAAAGCCGAACTTGCCAAATACGGGGGAAATGCGGTCCGGATCGTAATATTAAATTCCATGCGCCAGTGGACATGTCTTAAGGTGCCAAGAGCTATCCGCATATACATGGAATGTCTTCTCCGTGCTACTCATATACTCGATATCTTTAAACCATGTTTTATTACGGAGTAGTTTGCAGATTTTTATATTTATTTATATTTGTTTATATTTGTTCATGTAGTATAGACATCGATCGACAGGGCATGTCTAGCATGTCCAACATGTCCATGTCCCCTTTTCGGTACATAAGCATCTGCCACGTCCGTGCAGAAGGCAAAGAGACGCCTTTGGATACCGAAGCGAGGTGAAGTTATTATTATTGGAACCCGAGGGAGTGGATGCAGGCGATTGGCTTTCGGGGAGTGAGAGAAATAACGGGCTCAGAACCCTTTTTAAGGTCCGAGCCAAAGTAAAAGAGAAAGAGAGAGAGTAACCATGGCCGGTGAACCCGGAGACCAATCATATAGGTACTTAGTTCTTTTTTTGGGGGCTAAAAAAGAAAAGCAGATGACCTTTTCTACAATATGGTCTGAGTGAAATAAAAAAAAAAGACTGGATTTTACCTAACGAATAGCCAACGAGACAGCTCGCTTGTCTCTGCCATCTCTCTCGTATTCTGGCCATTCCGGTCTTGTCCGTGCGTTACCATGTCTTTTTATTGGATAGGAATCCTATGGTAAAATGGGGGATCCATTTTACTATTTCTTTTGACTTTATTTTTCCTTTTTATAAAATTGAAATTTCTTTCTCAATAATAGCCGGGTCCATTCCTACACTTTCTCTCCGGAGTCCCTATACTAGTGCCTTTTTTTCACGCGATTAGTCGGGAAGCAAGGGATTTTCCCTCGAGGGTCTTTTTTTCTCTTCTTATAAAATAGCTATAGTTTTGGGAACAGTATAGAGTGAAATATCAAAAGATCAATATAACTAAGATAACCTAACTATATATATACCCCAAATATAATTTCGGAATGACCAACCGGGCTGTCAACCACGTTCACCCCTCTCTCTCTCTCTCTTTCGCCTTTTTTCACCTTTTTTCCCTCTTCCTTTTAATATAAGAAATCTGTATTATACCATTCCTTTCCCCACGGTGGCCAGGTGGCTAGACCCGCGTCGACTCCATTCCCCGAGAAAAATCAATCTTATTTACTTTTTTTACACTCTTCTCTTCTCTCTCTCTCTCTCTTATTATAATAATTCCCCCGCGCTTGCTATCGCCTCCAACGCCACGGTCCTTTGCCCACCCCCCCACATCTTCTTCTCAGCTTCAACTTCTTCTTTTCTCCCCCGAAATGTACTACACGCGCCTTCGACGACCGTGACAAATCTCTCGGATCCCTTACCTTTCGAGATTTTGACTTTAGTATTTCCATTCCCCTATTTCTGGGATCTGAGTCCCTTGGCTCTCTGTATATTCCGATCGCGAGCCCCATCGACGATCGCCCCTCCTGGATTCTACCAGCCCTTCCGGGGGCTTACCTGGCGATCGAGATTGGACGTTGAGCGGATCCTCTTTCGGTCAACTCACCAACATCAACGATCCCGAATTCTACGTGAGGGACCCATCCGCCAATCTGGCGACTCTAGCTGTGCCAGCGGGAATGGGGACAGCGTTGGACGCGCTGTCAGCCCCGCCGTTGAACATTCGTCGTCCTGCGGCCCCGACATTGCCCAGCTTCGAGCTCCCACCACCACCCTTCACCTTGGGTGCCGCAGCACCCAAATACGCTGGACATCCCCCAGTCTCACACGCGCCAGTCAATGTGAGCGTGGGGAACCTTCTAACGCCACCCGCCACGATTCAAACAGGGGACCACGCCACACCCCAGCCATTGGCGCCCTCAACAGGCGCGTCTTCAGAGCTACCGCCGGCATATTGGTCAGGGGCCAATCCATACGGACAGTCCTGGGCCCCCGGCATAAACCAATACTCCCGAAGCTCCTTCTCACCATCCGGTATGCAGCGCTCGGTAATATCACCGCCGACAACAGATGGCCTGCCACATCCATATGAAGGCCCGACATTATCTTACCAACCTCTCCCCGCCCCGTCAACAATGCCTCCCTCTGCCTCACAACCCGCCATGGCCATGTATCACGGCCACGCTACATCCCCCGCCCCACTGCCATCAAACGATCCATATGCCCCCAAACAGCATATGTATGCCGCTTCTCCCCCAATGCACAGTCCCCACCAGGCCGGCTTCTCTCCCATGTATGGCCCCGCCGGCCTGGGCATCCATCCCCCAGGAAGAATGCCCGTTCACAGTCCCGGCGGACAACCACCACTGGGATATCCCCGCCAGCCATGGCCGTCATATTCTCTCCCTGCGATGAACGGTCCCGTCATGACCAACGTGCACAGCCCCGGCGGGCCCATGTCGATGATGGGAATGCAATCCGGTCTTCTACCGGGATTCAACAGTGGACATGTCGCCAGTTCTCAACATCTATATGGAGGCCATCCACCCCCGCACGGTATGTCCGCTCCCGCAGCAGACAGACCTTTCAAATGCGACCAGTGTCCGCAGAGTTTCAACCGAAATCATGATCTCAAGCGCCATAAGCGCATTCATCTGGCCGTGAAGCCTTTCCCCTGCTCGCACTGTGACAAGAGCTTCTCGCGCAAGGATGCTCTTAAGGTATGTAAACTGTGACTTTGTACCAATTTCGCATATACTGATTTTTACAGCGACATATCCTTGTGAAAGGATGCGGAAAGGACGGCGACTCGGACGCGAACAGTAACCAAACCGGGACTGATATCAAGGGTGAAGGGCGCAGCGAAGACGGCAGTCCCCTTCTCAATGGACGTTGAACGTTATTCCGATCTTTCCCGTGACATTTTCGTTGCGACGCTCCCCAAACATTCATCCACATATTTATGGGGAAGTTTGACATTTGTATGTATCTACCGAGGCATTGGGAGTCAGGATTTCCAACCGGATTTTACTTTTTTGATTTTTATGTTATTTTTTGAGCTTCGGCGAAAGGTTTGTGATTTGGGCATCATGGGAAGGTCTGATTCTCTGCTTTTTTTTTCTTTTTCTTTTATCCGGATTTTTATGTTTACTATATGTGCTTATCGGACTCATGTGTGACGTGTGTACCTATCCTGCTTCTCTGTGATTTAAAGCGATTAAGCGAACTGTTAATGGGATGGGCTACGTCGGTATATAAACAACCCTCCATCAATTATGATATGGAAGATATCCCGAAGGAGCAAAGTATATTAATCGTGTTAATTTGTGTAATAATAACTGCTTGCAAGCCACTTTTTGTTACTCGATTATTATTGGCTAGCTATTTACCCATTGACGCTGAAATAAGGGAGTTCGTTAGACGTATGGCTGATTTGGCTGAACCGCCATATCAGCCACTTACTGGGTAACCGCATGGCTGTCTCATTTTAATTGAACAACATGTACGGAGCGTAGGTGAATCTAGATGTTCTGATTTGAATATGGATATCAGAACTTTCATTTTTGGGGAAAAGGGGTTTATAGATTCCCATTGTTCTGCTGAAATAGGTATCATTGTAGTTACCCATCGGGAAGACTAAGGAAGGATCTTCCATACAAGTAGATGATCGCCATCTCCGCAATCATCTCCCTTTGACTTTAGAAACTGTAAAAATTCATATTTTAATTCAATTCTCCGGTCACTGCTTGTCCCCTTTTCCTTTTTCTCTCGATCAAGGTATATAAACCTGGAAGTACCCTGGTATCTGTCGAGTCAGCACATGCAGATTACATACATATCCATGGATGTATGTAGTGTGATATATCCCTCCTTTCTCTCTCATTCTCTCTCCCAGCCCGCTTTTATTGAGTAGTATTCTCTATATCCCCCACAGCCATGTATTCCCCCATGCCTCTACTGTTCTTGATATGTGCTCTGCTTGCACAACAGACCTTATCATTTCCTAGTCAGCACAAGGCCAAGAAACCTTTACCATATCGCTATGCTGGCAGGGACTCTCGCAGCGGAAGCTACCATATCCCCAACACTATCCAAAACGGAACAAGCAAGGTCCGATTCGACGTCCCAACCCCAGAAACCACTCTCGATGCAGAGACCCTCTTCAGTCTAGACGCACCTCAGATAGATCCAATCAACGGCTCTGTCTTCGACTGGTGGTATTTCGACGTCGTCTCAGAGGAAAACCCAGACGATTCCCTGGTCATCACATTCTTCACCTCATCCATGAACGCATTTCCATTCCTTAGGGCGAACGAATCCTCCATCCTCAATGTCTGGATATGGGCTTCGTTCGCCAATGGAACCCACTATGAAGATACCATCCCAGCAACTGTGGCGACTGTGGCCGGCGCAGACGGCGCGGGAACTAATAGTTCTGGAAACTGGTCATCCACAGGCTTTAGCTGGAATGCTCTCACGGAGAATCTATCGCAGTATGAGGTTATAATTGCGTCGGAGAAACTCCAGGTCGAAGGAAGGTTAACCTTGACTTCGGTAAGTGACTCGAATCGCTGCAACAGATTGCGTTTATTAACTATGTCCAACAGCGAGCACCATATCATCTACCCTGTGGAATTCAAGCGGGACGTAGTCAACTTGAGATCGCGCCTCATATCGGATGGGTTAATCTCGTACCCGATGCCGTGGGTGAAGTCGATATGAAGATCCATGGGTCGACACTCAAGTTCCGAGGTATTGGGTACCATGACAAAGTATGTGATTCGAGACCGCACTCGACTGAAATTAAGAATCTCAGCTGACAGGTCCTAGAATTGGTCTGATCGACCCTTTGTAGACTCTGTCCAGAGTTGGTACTGGGGTCATGGCCGTCTGGGTCCGTACTCGATTGTATGGTTTAGTTACCTCGCTATGAATGACACAACCAACGCCACGTATGTGAGTAGCTATGTTGCCAAAGATGGGGAGCTGCTCGTGTCGGCTTGTGACCCCTCTCTTCTCACTGTGAGACCGGTCGGTAGGCCCGGGACGACTGGCGGGCGGTATCCGCCATATGCCCGTGATATTCCGGAAGGATTTCGATTGGAATATGATCTTGGAGAGGGGAATGGTTGGTTGAATGTTAATGTTTCGGTGAGAACGGTGGTTGCGGGGGATGAGGAGTATTATATGCGATGGACAGGTGATATGGTTGGGGAGGTGGTTGAGTCTGAGAGAGCAGGGAAGGGTGGCGGTGGCTCAAAGGGAGAAATGGGGGAACGTGACGTGCACTCATCGTCTCTTGTTGGTGTTGCGGTTTTGGAGCAATTTGTTCTATTGGAATAGATAATGTCAAGGTGAGCATTATCAAAGAAATTCATATAATATACTCACATATTCTATATAGAAAACACCATTGGATTGGCTTGAATAGCTCACAACTTATGTAAAAGAAAAAAAGGAGATCCGAGATGCTCACGCAACGCAAGGGAAATAGGAAGACAAAATACATAAATACATATCAGACAGGATCAAATGAAAGAAAACGAATGACGACACCCGAAACATTACTGAGTCCTGTGCTTAGATTTCCACTCATCGACCAGACCCCGATAATCCTCAGGACCATATGGCTGCAAGCACCGGGCCACCAAGCCCTGCTTGCGCCGTGTTGACAGACCCAGTTCTCCCAGCATCAGATCAACATATGGGATCGCATCAAACACAAAGTCAGGGTTCCGTCGCCCGAATCCTCCCGGGTAGCGATATTTGCCAAATTCAGTAAACAGAGCTGTCTCCCAGGCAAGATCGATTTCTGAGACATCTTCCGTCTTGAGGTCAGATGCACCACGCACAGCGAGTGGACAGCTTTCGCGTGTAGTCGGGGTCAGATCACCCTTGAAGTAAGCTGAGATCCACAGTGCCTGGGTTTGAGCAATCAGGGTTGTGTTGATGGTCATGGTGATACCCATGAAAGCCAGAGAGCGTTCGTTTACCAGCGAAAGTGGAACCATGAATTTCGCTAGTCGGAAGGGGTGGGGTACAGCCGCCTCGGACTGTGAGTTTAACGGGGTGTAGAGAGGGTTTGGCTTTGGTTGATCACGCAGTCGGGGGAAGCGGCGCAGGATCTCTTCATCTGCTGCTTTCACCAACTTTTCGTTCAAAGGATCCACACTCCAGGGGAATCCCAACTCGCGGTCGATGCCTTCGGGCAGGAACTTGAGGTTTGGAGTGCAACGCCAGCCTGTCGAGCATATCAGCGCTGAAGATGGCAGCGCCTCACCCGATGATAGATGAACAGTGTGATCCGAGAGACGCTCGATATCAGCGACGTGCACCTTGATAGTGCCATCCCTGACCAAATCAAAGAAATCGGTCGGATAGTTCAGAATGCTGAGTGAGGAAGCGATCCAGAATGGGCCTACCCAGGGCTTCAACTTCTTCATCTCCGGGTCCTTGTCGTATCCGTTCAGCTGCACAACATCATCTGCCAGGATACCCCAGAACGCATCCACGATCTTACGACCCAGCCATGTACCATGCAAGAAATTGCGAACGCCGGAATACCCATCCGCCTCTCCCCAGATACACGGACTGAACCAAGTCAGCAGACGTGTTGTGACCAGCTTTTCCAGCCACTTTTTCAAGGGCGTCACATAGGGAGGCGCCATCCAACAAGGTCCATGACCGGACTCACGAATGATCCAGTCTACCTTCATACCTGTCGTTGCGCAGGCATAAGCCGCATCCCAAGCAGACTTGGTACCGCCGAAAACGGTCGCACGCTCTCCAGATTGCAGTACAGCATCTTGATGCTGCAGCAGATCCCGACAGTGGAACAGGGGTGCATCAAAAGACTTCTCGCCTTCGAAGCTAGGCAGATATGCCTGCGAGGTGATACCGGTGGCGACGATCATCTTCTTCGTATCGATTGTTGTCGTATCTGTTCCGTGCGACACACTCAACTGCCATGTTCCGTCCAGATTGTGTCGCGCGCTTTCGACATGGTGTTCCAGTCGAACGCAATCGGCAAATTTAAAGTGTTGTATATAAGCCTCCATGTATTTCTGAATTACATGGCCTGGAATATGTTGTCCAGGCTTGATGCCGAATGTCGCTTCGTCCATTGGGAAGTCACTATACTCATATGTGCCCAGCATATTGTTCGATTTGAGGCCTTTGTATAGACGGTGTTTAGCCCATACTCCGCCAACAGAGCTGGCAGCTTCCAGTAAGAGCACATTGTGGCCGGGGTTGACCTCGCGGTAGGTCTTGACCGCGGAGAGCCCGCTCCAGCCTATATTTGTTAGTGAAGTAGCTTGCGACGGTGAAGATTCGACTTACCTGCGCCTACAACCACTAGATCCACGGACTCCATATTTTTTTTTTGAAGAGTCCCTCGCTTTCGTTTTTTTGGAGTAGAAAACAACTTGCGCGACCAGGATTAATGCATGAATTTATGTAGCAAACGTAATCGACCATCTGGAAAGAAACGGGCCACTAAAAGTATTAGCGTCGAGTTATTTTTTTCGGATTTTCACTTTTTAATTTTAGCCCTTGCTGTTGCAGGAAGGGACACCCGGATGGAATGGTGGGATTAAATTAGACCTATCCCTAGCCCATAGTTGACAGTTCTCTTAACTTCAGTATGGCATGTCTTTTCTGAGACGCAACGATAGCGATGCAAAAGAACCCGAGACATTTCAACTACAGGCTTTAAGGTGATGATTCCATAATGGTATCATGGTGAACTAGAGGCCCCTTGACCTATCTGAGTATCTGGGTAAGGAGTACAGAGTACTTGGCATGCATTTACTTTGTACTCCCATACTCCGTACACCCTCTCCAGTGTCACCAGGGGCTCTTCAGGAGAATTCGAATCCGTACCGAATCCTTTAGCTTCCCTCCGTCGTTTGACTAGTTTAGCCCTGCTGTCAAAGCGTGGCTAGACCCGCGCGGATCGTCCGCAATCTTGTTTGTCCCAGCGTTTATCAGGGCGGGTTATGAGCCGGTAAGTACTCCACAGCTATTTTAGAAAGTTTTTACAGTAACAGCGTGGCGTTAGCATTAATTGTGTGAAAAAGAAAATAAAAGTCGGGACCAACAATATGCACGTTGCCATTCCCCGGTTGTTATCTCAATACGACTATTGGGTGCTGTCCAATCAAACACATCGATCTCATGCAAATTATTTGAGAATCCAACTTCAAGACGCCGCTTAGAAAATGGTAGAGGGAAAAACGAACTGACCGTTATTCGTATGACCCGCTTTTAGACCCACCAGCAGGACTTTACCAACAGCCTTGAAAAAGTCGTACTTTTGATATGAAACATGAGGGTTTATGCAGAAAGTTAAGGTTAATGGGTAAATGTGAAGTTCACCCCCCTAAACCCGGACCGGAAACCGTGGCCTAATTTAGTACTTATGATATCCCCTGGACTCATTTGGTGCAAGAAAACGGCATCGGTTAGTGAAATAATATAATATAACTGGCCTGAGAGCCGATGGCTTAGTAGAAACTCTCGGCTACAGATAATGTATCGGAGTAATCTCCGGTCTGATCAGCAACCAAACCAACCGAAAAGAGAATGTGGGTCAGGGATTCAATACATGCTATTGCTATGGCTATACGCACCCCGGGCAAATGTCATTTAATTGGCTATAAGCTTTATGCAACTGCGCTACTCCGTCTGAGTTGGTCCCCCGTTTTCACGTCATAGGGAACTCAAATCCCCATGCGGTTCATTGCTGCTTGTCAAAATTGGCCCAATTGATATTGTGCCTGAATGCGGTACTCGTGTGTAACCGAGGAAACTCTCAGGTCAGAAGAAATGAGATTCTATCCGGCCATCCCGTCTGTATTCGTATTTGAAGAATAGCCTCTTTACTCCGATCATTCCCCCAATAGGGAAGTTCATATCGACTCAGGGGAGGTGTGGACCTTTCGAGTGCCGGTTTGTATTTCCAGGAACCAGTAATCTGGGAGTGGAACAAACGGTCGTCTCGACCTTAAACTTCTCCCCGGCACGTTGAAGGACCCATAGCCTGTCCAACACTAAAGATAGACCGTCATTATCCAATGAGACTTGGAGGATGTAGCTATGGAGCTGCCACTCTTGCATGGGGACTCCGGACCTGTCATAAATCTTGTTTACATGTGAGCATCTCCATAAATGGGGCTTGGGGTTTAGTTTGACGGGAGCCACAATACGTAAGTAGGCCCGGCCAACAGAGATTTGAGATCCCGTTCTTGCTTTTTTTCTTTTCTTTGGTGTTGATAAGTCGACCAAGGAGCGAGCTTGGCTCTTTGTCCGGACTGGTTCCAATATCAACGAGCGAGATCAAGGGAAATCATTGAGATACTGTCTTCTGCCGCTCGCTTTCCCCCACCTCCGCGCAATTGACTTTCTCTCCCTTTATCTGAATGTACATCCTGGGTTGAATGGTCTTTCCCTTTAATTTTGATGGCATATAGTACAAAGCTATCACTGAAACTTGCCAATCATGGATAGCTTTAATACAGAAGCGTTCACACTGCTGGGGATAGCCATTGCCGTCATTGGTCTACGAACAACTGCAAGATGGATTATGGTTGGCCCAAAAGGGTTCCAAGTTGATGATTATCTGATGCTGGTGGCATGCGTAAGTTGAATTGGAGTCTGTGGTTTCTTTGCTTTCATCTTGTTAATCAATATGGGTATAGGTGGTGTATGGACTAGAAACCGGTGCTGCATACATGGTTGGGGCGTGGTTCATGGGCCTTGCCAATAATTCGATGACGGACGAGCATCGAAAAGAATTGTCTCCTCATTCGGAGGAATATCGTCTGCGTGTGGGTGGCTCCAAGGTCCAGGTGGCCGGCTGGTCATTATACACTTTGCTATTATGGTTGTTGAAAACATGCATGGCCGTGTTCTACTCTCGATTGACGTGAGTTTTGATCCCATTGCATCTACTGTGTCCCTTGTTACTAAAATATATCCTACTATCTAGTGCCGGTTTAGTGAATATGCGAATCCGAATCCATATCGCCTACGTTATGATCGCCGTAACTTATATCGCCACCATCTGCTCGATTCTCTTCGGATGTCATCCAATCGACAAGAATTGGCAAATATATCCAGACCCTGGGAGTACGTTATATGTTATCAACGACTGGTCACCTTGAGAGACTGTGCCTCTAATTATATATTAGATTACTGCCAACCCGCCGTGTCCAAGATTGACATCTACGTGACTGTGGTACTTAATGTCGCGACCGATCTCTATCTCATTAGTATTCCAGCTCCGGTAAGACCCCTTCTCAACATTTGTGAGTAATGTCACTAACAATAGATGTGTCAAGTTGCTTCTCAAAGCCCGACTAAAGTGGCGGGAAAAGCTCGAGCTCCTGATTCTTTTCAGTGGTGGGCTATTCGTCATGATGGCTGGCATTCTGCGCTGTGTTCTCATCTTAACAGTAAGTTATCGAGAGTTATCTGCTGCGGCGACAAAATCTAATACATAGTTCCTTAGGCTGGCGCAAACGGAGCTCAACAAGCCGGCAGCTGGGCCTGCCGCGAGACTTTCGTCGCCGTCATCATCGGCAATACCCCCATGATCTACCCATTGATAAGACGATTTACAAGGCGTGCTGGTTTATACATCTCATCAAGGGGTGGCTCACAAAGCTATCCCGGCTACCCTCTATCAGATGCCGACACTGGCGGCGGCGGGTATGCCAGACGCAAGAAGTTCCGCCATCCGCTATCGATTCCCGGAGACACTCAGTGGAATACAATCAGCGACGAGCAAATGATCTTACCTTCCTCAAGACAGCAACCAGCCACATGCACCGCTGGTGACGGCGACTGGGATTCTCACAGCCAGAGCAGCCAGACTGGAATCAAGGTTGTTCATGAAACAATTGTTCACAGCGTCGAGAAGTCTCTTCGGCTGTAGTATGAAGATTTTCAACAAAATCTCGCGGACATTTTTCCTTTCTCTCTTTTTTGTGGTCCTGGGCATTTGAGCGTTGGCATGTCTTATCATTTTATTTCTTTATGTCATGTATATATTTTTATACCCACTTTTGGCTCGGCTTTTCTCTGTTTTTACTTTTTATAGGAATCAAGAATATATTATGGAGTATTACATGCAGTTTCATCCAGGAAGTTCGCAATCCGACAGACTAATAGCTGAAACTGTTTCCAGGTCAGTAGATTCTGAGACGGATTGTGATTTGAACACATTCTAACCCGTGAATATTGTTACACAAAACTTGGTCTCAACTGAGCGGATGCAAATTCTCATTCATTTGCTATAGCGATGTTGTCAAGTCTTGCACCAAGGATGGGATTTGAAACCGACCGGTGTAAGTATGCAAGGAGGGTATTTATAGAGGCGAAGCAAAGGGCGAAACACTCATGGATGTTGATTACCTAGGAAGAATGAAACTAGGTCTATAGGGAATGAATAAGAGGCCTTGGCAGCCAGGTAGTGATGCAAGTGGTGCGATGGGGTGAGATGAGACAACCACGCGGTCCCCCATGAGAGTACTTTCTGCAAGCCATAAAGTGGATATGTACTTGCGTCTTGTTTTCTTTTTTATTCCCTATCTCCTTCTATAAGGAGATATAGTCTATCTCAGATCCGTGAATTTAATCTCCTGGAATTTGTTTTAACTACGTAATTACACCTGCAAAGGGGTTCGTGGAACAATGTGAACTGAATTAAATACACCGGAAATGCGAGTCTGGGGCCGAACCTGCATTGTAATACTTCAATGTTCCTGTAATATCATAGTAGTAGCATCGAGCCGTATGATGATCCAAGCCAAGTGGCATGAGAGATTGAATCCTTCTCTCTAGTGCTCCATTTTGTAGGTTGTTACTATATACATCTAGATTCACAAGGAATTGCCTATGATCACATTGCATTTTTGCTGTGGAAGATCGAAGGTATTTGAGTATATTTGAATATATTGTGTGGCATTTTTATGGCACCTTCCATAGGATGGATGGATGCACGAATGTGAGTGTTGATAACAGCTAGAAGTTCTAGCTTCGACGAGTCTCCATCGGAATGGATCCCGCTATTATGTATTATAATGCGTATCGGAAAAATGGATTCTGCTTGTCGGTGAGATCGTCGAATGCAATCTTGTCTCGCTGCACCTCATCCAATTCCAATGTTTCCCGGATTCGGTTTTCCCGCCGAAGGACCAAATATAACACGACTGCGGCAGCAATTGTGATACAGTAGCTATAGTTCGTTAGATTAGTTCGATAAGAAGAAATCAGATACAGACTTACCAGATGATCATGCCAGTCCACAATTCTGGGTAATGTTCTGCCTTAGTGTTGCTTTTCACAAGCTGCGGCCCGATGATGTTGCCGACAGTGTAAGCCACGAACACGGTTGCTGCCATGACGGTTTTCTTCGTGGCACCAGCGACGTTGCTAGCTCCGATTGTGATGATCAAGCTGACTACTGGCCCAAAGAAGCCAGTTAGCGCATAGCCAACGACTGGAGTAACTGGATGGTATCCCCATTGGGATTTCCAAATCATCACACAGCCAGCAATGACGGGTAGGCAGCAGGTAATGAGCAATGGGATGCGGGTGTTGGGGACGACAGTAGGGATATAACCACAGAGAGGAATGAAAACGACACAAATGGCGCCGACGGGAAACTGAAATAGAATTGAATGAAGAGTATCATAGCCGAAGGTGGAAACAATCAACGGCCCGAAGCCCGAGATAGCACCATTGATAGTGTACCTGGATTTAGAGAGGTTAGCATCAAGGAATGTATCATAGAACACATTAAAACGGAGAAAACTCACGCTGACGCCATCATGATAGCCACCAGATAGAGCTTAACGTCCATCACAGCCTCTTTGATTTGATCAAACTTGATCTTCTGGCACCGAACACCAGTTTGACCCTTGCGCAGTCTCTCCACAGCAACCACTCGTTCTTCCTTAGTTAGGAACCAGGCAGAAACCGGAGAATTAGGCATAGTGCAACACCAGAGGCCAAACAAGAAGGTCAAGGCACCAGCCAGAATATAGATGTATTGCCATCTTCTCAATGATCCAGATGTGATCTGGCCAAATCCATAGTTCAGTGCACCACCGATGATAGTGAACCAACCGGTTCCAGAGAACCACCATGCCTGTCGAAGAGTCTGCTCCTCTTGTGTGTACCATCCGCTGACAATGGTCATGAATCCCGTAGGAATAACACTTTCGATGAAGCCTATCTTCTATTAGATAAAAAACCGGTGGAATACATTAAAGGTAAACATACCAAGGAAGAATCGTTGCACGAAAAGTCCTTGCCAGGTTGTCACACCAGCGGTGGCGGCACAAACAATGGCCCATGTCAGAACAACCGGACCGAGGACAGTTCGAGTATTAAACCTTTGCAAGATAAATGTCATTGGGTAGAGACCCGCAAGCATTCCGAAATAAAAGATTGATGTTGCCCAGCTGAGCCGTGAAGTATCAGCAGATGGAGGAGAGGTGGAATAGTCTTTCACTAGTAATTCCAAGTCGGTTGTCATGCCAAAGAGCGTGGCGCTACCTAAGATAGCCTATAGAGGGATCAGTATATACTGACTAACAAAGAAATCGGCGCAGTCATCGCACCTTGTCATAGTAGACCATGCCATAGCCTGTGTTCGAGTTAGTCAACAATTCCCGGTCACAGATATGCAGTGTATAACTAACCGATAAGCATAGCAGGCATCAAATATAAATCGATTTTTCGCAGAACCCTCCTTTCCACCACCGGATCGATTTCTTGGGCGAACTCGCTCACCACCGCCAATGCTGCATCTTTTTCGGATGAGATGTGTGGCGATTCGTCGGCGCTAGTTATGCCATGGAGCTGAATCATGTTTTCACACCAAAATGGCTTCTGTGAACTTCACAGAGGCCGAAGAAAGTGATATATCTTTGAGATATGACTCTGTGTAATAGTAAATATGTGAGAGAGAAAATTTGTTTAAACTTCGTACTTTCTACATTGGGATGTCCGATATCGCGGATACCGCCTTTGAAATTTTGACAGAAGTTAGCGACCGGAGTAAGCACCTCCGCGAGACTCGCTCACTTGACCAGATGGTTTTGAATGGCATTATTGCTATTATTGAATGGAAGATGCCTTCTGAATGGGATCTCAATAAGAAGATTTGATAATATTGATCGTATTGGGAGTAAATATATGGATTCTAAGACCTCGGTAACCTTACTAGAGGCGCCCATGTCCTCTCTTTAATCCGACATGGTTTCCGACGAGGTCCAGTATTTATATGAGTTGGTCGTTGTCGAAGGGTGGGTTAGAAATATTTGAACAGATTTTTTTGCCGGAGTTATAACGGAGTTAGAACGGAGTTAGCCGTACTATGTGCACAATAGCAGATCGGAGCTCAGAATGTGAGCTCAATGATTGCCCCGGATTTTACCAGAATTGTTATAGCATAGACGGGGCTGCATGAAATAGCCGCGCCCCATACTACGCCGAGTATATAAATTCTCACTAAGCAGACTTTGGTGACCGCTACTTTTTAGTTTGTATGGCGAACGCGGGCATATGATGTCATCTTGTTTTCAGTTCGAAGTCTTCCAATGTCGATCAAGTCCCTGAAAGGCCATGAGATAATTTTCTGGAAAGATAAGGTTCATGGATCAAAGATTTTGGTTCAACTTTTGACAATTCTGGAAAAAAGGCCGAGGTATCACTCGACAGTGGGACCTGCATCATCGACCAGGCCCCACTCAATTGCATCACAGATCACAGATTATCTTGTTCTCGATTGCCTCGAAGCTTTGTTGACTAAACATTATTCGGTGTGAAATATGGGTCATGTGGAATATGGGTGACGTACTGAAGGGGGTTGCCTATAAAGACAGTTAACACCTGAATCCCTCAACATATCTCAAATTTCACAACTGCATTTTACATCAATATTTACAACATGACAATCAAATTCACCGTATACAAGGGCTCTAAGGATGGAATCATTCAAGCGGAGACTGAGAAGGAGCTCAAACACGACGATGTTCTAGTACGAACCACGCATTCGGGAGTTTGTGGCACCGATGTCCACTACCAATCCGCCGATATGGCCCTTGGCCATGAGGGAACAGGTGTGGTGGAAGAAACTGGACCAGACGCGAAGCTTTTGAAGAAAGGCGATCGCGTGGGTTGGGGCTATGAGCACGACTGCTGTGGTTCTTGCAAACAATGCCTCACTGGATGGGAGACATTATGCAAAGAGCGAAAGATGTACGGCCTGGCCGATCTCGACCAGGGATCTTTCGGTACCCACGCTGTGTGGCGCGAAGCCTTTTTGTTCAAGATCCCCGAGAACATGAGCAACGAGGATGCGGGACCATTGATGTGTGGTGGATCAACTGTTTTCAACGCCCTCCACACCGCAGAGGTTCGTCCGACCGCGCGTGTTGGTATCGTCGGGGTAGGCGGTCTGGGACATCTGGCTATCCAGTTCGCCGCAAAGATGGGCTGTCAGGTCGTGGTCTTCTCTGGCACAGACAGCAAGAAGGACGAGGCGATGAAGCTGGGAGCCGGCGAGTTCTATGCGACCAAGGGTGCGAAGGAGTTGAAGATCAAAGCCCCGATCGATAATCTCATTGTGACGACCAGCAGTCAGCCAGACTGGCCGCTCTACCTCAATATCATGGCCCCCAGCGGTGTGATTTCGCCTCTGTCTGTTGATTCAAACGATCTCAAAATCCCATATATGCCGCTGCTCGTAAATGGTCTTCGGATTCAAGGTGGTATTGTGGGTTCGAGACAGGTACACAAGGATATGCTTGAATTCGCTGCATTCCACAACATCAAGCCTGTCAAGATGACCTTCCCTTTGACGTTGGATGGCGTCAAAGAAGCTTTGAAGACATTGGAAGATGGAAAAATGCGTTATCGCGGGGTTTTGGTGGCACCCTAGAATATTGCGAGGTGGACAAAAGGGCCCATTGGATGTTTCTGATCCAAGTGGATAATTGGGGAGGACAAGTCTGTATATAAGACATAGTTAGGATGGATGCAAATGATTGAATGTTCATAAATCTGATGTTGCTCGTTCTAAGGTTCTTTTTAGTAAATAGTAAAATGTGTGTGGGAACAAAGTAGAAGGAAAGAGCAAATGTATGGAAAATACAGCAGAGTTCAGAGAGAGAAGTAGGATTGGGAGGAAGAAAAGAAGGGAGAGAGAGAGAGAGACAAGAGCTCTGTAGAGGGTTCTGTCACATATTGATGCCTCAGACATCAATGAACTGTTTTACCATAAGAGATCGGAAAGGGAAAGTGCGAATGGGATGTGTTTTATATTTATGGAAGGTGAGGACCTTGATAGAGGGTTGAGCCATGCACGTCAACCACCTGGCGACTAATGCAACTTAGACATCCAAAAAGCCTTAAAGTGAATTTCAACATACTATGTATCCTGTTCAAACACCATCCCATCGAGGCCATTCTAAATGAAACCATGCAGCACAAAAAGCTCAAAGACGCCCTTGGATTGGTTTATCCTGCCCATCCCGAACATCGGCAGGTGGTAAACGAGGCTCAGGCAACCCCAAGTCGCGTGTAACCTCTCGGGCCGCCCAGAGACCTGTCACGAACGCGAGAGCAAGACCCCCAGCGTATCCGAGATTACTGAAGCCGCCAGCATCGACACCCGCGACGAGCAAACCTGGAATTCGGGATTTATCGGGGGTTAAGGCGTGCCCTTTGGCATCGATCGCGATACCGCCGTATGTGAATGTGATCCTGTGGAACATTAGAAAGGGGGAGTTGGAGTGTGGGGGAGATAACCTACGACGGCTGTACCTCCATGGCATAGAAGGGACCTTCCCCATCCACCAAGGGTATAGGGGGCGAACCAGCACGACCGATAGGGGCGTCAAGGGAAATGCTCTTGTCCCCTAAACGAACCACTCGATCATATTCGTCGATAGTCCGTCTTGCCTGCACATCATTCACACCCCACGCGTGAAGAACATCTACCAGACCACTCAATGTTGACGCACTTCCAACGTTACAGCCATGGTCGCGGGCTTTCTGCAGACGATCGACGTCCCCTGCGTTGGGGAACAATGCAGTGACGCAGTGTTGAACACGGGTTTTCTCGCTAGAATAATAAGCCACAGGTCAGAATATCGTCCCAGTCCCCTCTCCCTGGGAAGTAACATACTTGAACAATATAAAGCCGCGGCGCTTTTGCTGTTTCGCGAGATACTGATTGATGATCTCGTCACCTGTGGTCTCATCGGCAAATCGCTGACCTCCTTCGTTCAGTAGTAGGCAATATTTGCTTTCTGCAGCCTGATTAGAGAGAAACATCGAGTTGACCAGTATTTGCTCTTACGGTATTGCGCGAGTGGAAGATAGTCCTTCGGATCCACGTCTTCAGCTCGAAGTGGAGCTGCCAGAAGATGACCATAGTAGGTATTCATTCCTCTACTGGTTCCAGCACCAGATTCAATGGCCAGCTTCAGTCCGTCGCCCACCGATCCACGATTGGAGCGCACAAAGATATTGTCTCCGCCTTGGCCCAAGTATTTGGATGTCATCCCCGGAGAACCTTGGAAGCCACCCGTAGCCAAAACCACCACTTTGGCTCTTACTTCGTAATACATGGCTGGCGAATTGGGAGTGTTTTTGCAAATGACAGCTCCAATTATGCTCGATCCTGAAACCCCGGGCTCTCTCTGAATCAACTTGACCACCGACGTGTTGGTGAAGATCTCGGAACGTGTCTTGCTAGACTGAATGCGCTTTCGATGGAGGTTATGAAGGTGTGGGATCTTAATTGGGAATCCGATACCTATAATGTGTCAGGGTGACTTTTCAGCGAATTTCGTTTCTCAGTTCTACCTATTGTCATGATACCGTCGAACCGGTCAGCCGTTGGCACCCCATTTTCACGCATCCACTGTACAGCGGGCAAATAATCGCGTAGCCAGGCCTCCTGCAGTGTTGGATCTCCTTCCGGAACCCAATTCCTCAGCTTGTTATATGTTTGCGGCGCCCAGCTGTTCGTTGATGACATTAACAATCTCGTTTGTCCTGAAGATTGACTCGATCACTTACAACATTCCTGCAGAGTAATTTGACGAGCCACCGACATTCGCTTGCTTCTCGACGACCAGTACTTTGGCTCCTGCTTCTGCCGCAAAAGCAGCGCATGCCATTCCAGACATGCCTCCTCCGCAGACGAGGACATCGACTTGAATAGTCTCCATTGTGGTATGATTGATGTCAGGCCAGAAACCTAAGGAGATCGAAGGACTATGTATTCAAAAGCTTATCACAATAAGTGATTAATATTTAACATAATGATTATACTGTTGAATGTTGATACTCCGGAAGCTATAGATGCCTCGGCGCCGGTGAATAAATTAAGTGGCCGGGTGGACACCAGCAGGGATGCGGGGCCATACAAATATTGCCTTGACAGGCGACGGCTAAATGTAATCCCATGGACCATACGCCCGTGTGAGTAAGCCTAGCAAGGGAATTTGTTTATTTCCTCGCATTAAGGTAGTGTTTGGAGGCCCGCATTATCCTTTCCCGTAGGGAATTCAAGCAGGATCTCAGAAAAAAAGAATGTGGGAACGGAGAATCTGTTGAATTTCTACTGGAGTGAATTTCTTCTCTTATCGTTTGATATATCGATGGTTTGAATATGTTATTCGCTAGACAAAAGTATTGTGCTATCTCTTTATGAAAGTTTCTAGCACACAAGATGATTCCAACATCGCTATTTTACATAGCATTCAATACTCTCACAACTTCCCATTAGTATGCCGACTAAGGCCGCAATGAAAGGATATTTCTCGCCATGAAGCCATCCCTCTTCTAGCCCAGTCATCGGGTACTCTATGCACAAGTTAAAGTCAGCATACGAAATGATTGCCATTGAAGACCATACTTACGAAGAGCGCGGATTCCACATATCAGTATGAAATACTTCCATCGACACCCACCCAGTGTAGCCAAGATCAAATACGGCTTTCGCAACCTCAAGTGCAGGAAGGACACCGCCGCGATTCGCTTCACAGGGGAAGATCCGACAATTTCGCGATTGAGTCATGTGGGCGGGCTGCTTGAGGTCACGCCGCGGGTATCCCACTTGGTTTTGATCCGCAACCATTGCATCACTTAACTGGAAATAAGCAATTTGGTTTGGTGTCACAGTCCGTTTCATTTCATCCAAGGATCGACGTAGATTTGTCAGGCCGCCTGGTCGAATAGGTGCCACAGCATTGAATGGATCGCCTGCCTCTTTGGCAGAAATATGGAAGGTATCAAGACAGTGAACAACGTTGGGAAGATCAACAAGCTTGATAATCTCATGGATTTGCTGCCAAGTATTGAGGTGAGTGCCCCAGGCAGGCGCTTCGTATCCAACTTGCAAATCGTATTTTTGAGCAAGGAGGCCCAATTGCTTCATGTTCCCGGCGATTGTGGTTAAATCTGGTGTAATTCTGGCAGGATCGATAGGGTAGAGGCATGATGTGATCTATTACCAAAAGGTGAGATTAGTTTGACACAGATCAGACAACAAAATATTAGTGGTGCACACCTGAAATATTGGAATTCGCATCAATTGACAAAGTTCACACCAAAGCTCCGCCTCTTCTAGACGAGACTTAACTTCGGCTGGATCAATCAGCCCATCATATGCGCCAAATGGGTTGAGTGCAATTAAAGATAAAGATAAATCTTGCGCCTTTCGGTCAACATCAGCGGCGGCTGCGCGCAGGCGGGAAGCTCGAGATGATTGGGAGAAGGAGGAAGCATGCGCTTCGAGACATTCGATTGCAACCTCCACTCCATCAAATCCGTGCAATTTGGCTGCCTCGAGTTTATGAAGCAGTGTATGCCCTGCAGCCGACTTGCCGAGCGAATTACTAGCGATCGCAACTTTAATAGATGTCATGTTGTCTGAGAGATTAAGAGTCATCAGCAAGACAGACCGAGCAGGGGTAGAAGGGTGGCTTAATGCGAGGGTGTGAAAGGTATCTGGGCGGGAGTTCCGGTGACCAAATTTGAGGCCGGGCGGATGGAGACAAGTGCGGGGAGAATGAGATGAAATTCCGACTTAAAGTAGTTAAAACATGAAATATAGAACAATTAGTGGAGGGAAAAACCACATTAAGAAACTACTCGAGTTGAATTATGCCTCTTCGTGCGAAAATGAATACTCCACGTGTGGTGATTGTTACAGGTTGATACACCAGTTGACCCATCTCAACCCTAAGCTATGAGCTGACTAGAACTTATAGGTGGCGCAGATGGCTTTGGGGCTGCTATCGCTGATCGTTTCAGCCGCGAGGGATGCAAGGTCATAATTTTAGACTTGAATCAGGTGAAAGGTGAAAGCAAGCAACGAGCCGACTCTAATATAACTTTCCTTCCTGGGGATGTGACTCGCCCTGAGACATGGGAGAAGGCACTGGAGTTGGCACAGACAAACTACGGCAGGATTGATGTGGTTGTCAACAATGCTGGTAAGAACATTTGAAGTATTTCAAGAGCCAACTTTGCGTTCTGATTTGTTGACTCGGCCCAAATTAGGAATTACCCATGATCCATCTGTATGATCCCCTTCGCAAATGTGATTACCCTTCTAACTCGGTTGTTTAGCCTATCCACACCAAGAGTCTCCGTGAATACGAGAGGACATTCAACGTGAATGTGAAAGTAAGACGTTCCAGCCGCAGTGCTTGGGCAATTGCTAAACAATATATATACAGCCGGTCTTCATCAGTGCACAGATTTTTGCACCTGTTATGATGCAACAGGGACATGGGATCTTTATCAACATAACGAGGTAAGTCACCCAATTAGACTCTGGTATGAAGTTATTGACCGGAAAAGTACTGGATGTACACGTCCGCGGCCGGGGTTTGCCATTTACAACGCTTCCAAAGCAGCTGTAGAAGTAAGTCCAAGATTTCGAAGCTGTTAAGCCAAATAGTAACGTGTTTCTAGGTCGCAACCAAAACAATGGCTCTTGAATACGCCCCAGCTGTTCGATTCAACTGTATCTCCCCTGCTGTGGGAAACACTGCTATGTATGTTGATCCAAAAGCTCTCCCCCAGGCCACCTTTAACACGAAGCAGGCTTCAAGCTAGCATTGGAAATGGCGAAGATTCCCGCCAGCGACTACGCCAAGTGGAAGACATGTTGCCTATGAAACGATTGTGCCAACCATTGGATATAGCCAATGCAGCATGGTACTTGGGATCGGAACAGAGTAGTTTTGTAACTGGAACGACCTTGGAAGTGGATGGAGGTCGAGGCGTGTAAATATAATTTCATAGCCGAAAATTCCAGGGTTCCCCCGCAATTTTGGAAATTCCGGGGGTATTTGATATTTCTCCACTCCCTGTCTCTCCTTACATCAATTTATATTTCAACTACCTCAATATTGTTTATTATATGATTCTTTGAATTCTTAGAGTTCCCATGTCTTCGTACTCTGGAGATGATAATCCCTCTGGCCAAACTCGCCCCGCGGCCGCCGCGTGTGAGGCGTGTCGGAAACTGAAGGTATAGGCTTCAACCCCAAGTGATACCTATATTTGCTGACGAAACTTGTAGATGAGATGCATCCGACCACAAAGAGAGCAGCATGGTGGTAGCTTGACAGAGCCATGCCAGCGATGTAAGCGCACCAGCCGCGAGTGCAATATCCCAGAGCCAAGAAAGCTGGGGAGAAAGCGCGGTGCGACAGGTCGCTATCAAGGAATTGAAAAGGCCTATCGGAAAATGCAGCTGGAATTAAAGAAGGCGAAAACGTCTCATGCGGGCGAGAATGATATGGATCATTTCGTCGCCGGCGAGGAGCCGATGCTAGAGCTCTTATTTTCTAACCCAGCTGAGACAAACGGCCCCGCGCAAACGTCATCAGAGTTAGGAACTGAGGGCTCTTGCGCCCCATGCTTTGAATCAATTATGCCAACTGTACAAGACGATGAACCGTTAGGAAACATTGTCTCTCCGGTATTCCGCAGTGGTGAACTCTCTCAGTCCAATCGTGAACCAATCAGCAATCCGTTGGCTTTGCTCGCAGATGCCTCTGATGCTGCCCAGGCGTTGGAGCTACACTCAGCATCCGCCAACTCTTCCCCGGTAACAAATGACTCATCCTCTGCGAGGCACTCGTCGGCGAACCTGTCAACTGGAGCAAGCCTGGGTCGTCAACTGCTTCACCGGCCGGGTTACGTGTCACTTGGTCTACAACTGAGCAGAGATACCCTTGAAGCAGGAATCGATTCACTGGTCGTTCCTTCTGAACACCCATATCGTTATTTGAACTATTTCAAATCGTCTCCACAGGTGCCTCTACGCGATGTTGGCCCTGATGTTGACCCAGTGGACCTCGGTCTGGTGACCATGGACGAGGCCTGTTATTTGTTTCCAATGTAAGTGAAAGGACCGAGTGCCCTGACAATCAACCCGGACTGATTGACTTTAGATATTTTATCCGTTTGCATCCTGTCAACGGAATCCTAGATCCGATGCTTCACACTCCAGATTTTGTGCGTTCGCGGTCGGCTCTTTTATTCACCTGGATACTGGCTTTAACTGCACAATTCGATCATGGGTCAGCCTCAGTCGCCAAACGATTACGCCTTCATGGTGAAAAGCTCTCGAAACACGTCCATACCAGTGGATACAAGTCGGTTGAGATCGTTCAAGGCTACTATATCTCATTACTATCAGCCACTCCCGCCGAGACTCTGGCACAGGAGCGCTCGTGGCTGTACACAATGTATGCCTTTGGTGTAGCAGCCGAACTAGGTCTAGACCAAGATTCCCGTGCCAAAGATGCGCCCCCTCCGAACTCGACCAATGCATCCTATTTTCGAACTCAGGATACCCCAACACAATTCTCGGGAATTGGCTCACGTTTATCACTAGAGTATCCTCCAAAAGACCCCATCGAAGATCAACGCATGGCGCGAAATCGCGAGAGAACGTGGTTAAGGATTCTACTATGGGAACGGGCGAACAGTGCAGCCTGTGGTAGAATACACACTTTCCCGGAAACAGATTTGACACAAAGTGTCGACAGCTGGTGGCTCCACCACCTGGCAGACCCCACAGACAAGCACACATGTGCGTTTATCACTCTGCGACGCATTCTAGCATCACTACAGAATGAACTGAGACATCAAGCTCATTTGACACATGCCGACCCTCATTGGGTACGAGAAATGGTTGATACAACTCTAGGACCCTGGTGCGACCTTTGGCTATCACATCCAATGCCCAATTTAATCACATCACCGTCTGAGAAGTTGTCCAATATTTTCCTTCATTATGTTTATCTCCACGGAAGGTTGTGGACCTTGTCATTTGCCCTTCACGGTTCAATAAATGGGGACCAAAATATGGATGCAATCCGAGCGGATTGCTTCGAGGCTGCAGTTAACTCATGCGAGCTCGCTGTGCGCGATTTGCATAATATTGGGGAGCCTTTATATTGCATGTTGGCTCCGACATGGGCTATGATATCTTATGCCGGTGTGTTGGCTTTGAAGCTATTCCCAGCCTTGTATGGATCCCGCGTCGGAAACGACGTGGAACTTCTTGCTTTACTCAGCCAAGTCGCCATTCAATTGGAGCGTGCAGGCACAACCCCGCCGCATCGATTTGGAATTGCTGCGTTGCTTGGACAACACCTCATGATGATTCTGAGAGCCAGAGCAGCGGGACTGAAAGACTCAGGTCAACTTGGCCAGACCAGAACGGATGCGTCGTACACCAACACAGCATTTGATGACGGAGTGAGACAGTTTATGCCACAGCAGTCCCCCCATTCGAAACCATACGAGGCTCTCATCTCGGATTATGATCCTTTCTTGACTACAGCTTCAATGTCTACCCAGGGGGATCTGACTGGTGAGGGGTTTGCTGACTTCTTCCGGGAAATGTTTGGGCCTGGATTCGGGGGTGTCTTTTGATAGATTTGGCAAAGCAAAGTGCAGCAATTCTTTACGCAAATTTAGTGTCTAATGACAATCATGAATGTATTACCTTATCATCTTTAATGAACACCCAGATGAGCATTGATTATACAAAGGTTTTGTAAACTATATGGAAAAGTTCCGCACAAAGGATAGTGGTCAAAATTTCTGGATCTGACTTATAGAGACTTTTGTGGTTTTATCAGTAAAAAAGATTGAACACAAGAAGAGGAAACACATAATTCTATTCGAGATTTCTACCATACTATGCGGGCGACAGTGGCTGTTTCGGATCACCGAGTCACCCAGTATCAACCTACAAGTTACTTCTGCGAACTTCCCCGCGAAGCACCTTATTCACAAAGTCAGGATCCTCTCGGAGAGGTCGACCCAAGCCGCACATGTCGATATCTCCACGTTCCACAGCCTCCGCCATACGATGGCTATCCCGCCAACCACCAGTAGTTCCAATCACAGCCCGAGACTATTAGTTTCTCAGTCAGCTCAATTGACAAACGGTGCCAGAAAACAGATAATGTACTCACCAGAACCTTCTTCAGCTCCTGCGCCCACTCAATGAAGTAGCTTCGCCTAGTCAGCATATGAACATAGTGAAACAATTGAATCCAACTTACCTTCCACGCTCTTTCTGGGATGGACGTTCTGCCAGCTCAGTCATGATGTTGCCACGCCATGCAGGAGAGGCATAAGTTCCCCCAGAGATGTCGAAGAAGTCTACGCCGGCATCCTCTAGCCATTTTATCACAACACATTGTTCAGCAAAGCTTTGGCCTCCCTCGATGACTATATATATCTTCCCGTTAGATTTTCTCTTTAAGTAGTGGGATGGAGTAGACTGACAATCCTGGCAGTTCAACTTCGCTGCTATCACAAACTTGTCCGATGGAAGTTTGGCTTTAATCGCATTGACGATCTCCAAGATGAACCGTGCCCGATTTTCCAAGCTTCCGCCATACTATCAAGTGCAGCAAATATTAGCGCTAATTGCAAGGGGAAGAAGAAACATGATATTCATACCTCGTCCGTTCGCTTGTTGATTTTGGGCGACAGGAATTGATTCATGATATATCCGTGACTGGCATGCAGCTACGAAAACCGGTCATTTAGCCTCTTTCATAACAAGCCGGGAATATATCTAAGCACTTACAATAATACCATCTGCACCCGCCTTCGCAAGAACCTCGGAAGCCCATACGTATCGGGAGATGAGATCCTGGATTTCAGCCTTTGTCAACGGCGACGGCTTGCCATACGTTTTGTTGAGACAGGGTTCGAGGTGCTGATCCGAAGCCGACTTGGGATTCTTGTTCAGGAATTCCGGAACTTGACGTCCTGGGAATTGTAACTGGGGAAGGAAGATTGCGCCCCGAGACTTGGCTGCCTTGGCCGCTGGGGTGAAAGCTGCGACTGGATCCCAGGGATTGTTGGGATCCAGCACTGCGTTGTTGTAATTTTCAAGATTGTCGCGATGGATCGGGATGTTTCCGGTACAGATAAGTCCCGCGCCTCCATCTGCTAACTCTGCGTACTGGTTAGCACCAATTGTATATGGCAGGGTGATCATGATCATACCTTGATATAGCTCTGCATACCGGTCCATGGGCTTGCCGCAATTCTCCACATTGTTCTCGTCGTATGTTGAAGCATACTCGCTGAGAGGTGTGCGATATAGGCGATTACGAATCACCTTTCCAGAGAGTTTCAGCGTAATGGGCTAGTCGGTGAAATGTTAGCAAGTTTTATCAGAGGGCTTGACCGAAGAAGCATACCTGAGCGAGGGGGAGATGTGCGATGCAGACATGACGATATAGACCTAACAGCAAAAAGAGAAGTTTGTCGTACTGGGGGAAAACTTCGATTTTCTCGCTGGGATTTAGTGTGCCTTTATTTCGCGCCTTTATTCCGCTCTATGTCTTGGAGCTTCTAATCGCACCCTGATCCAACCGGCCTATATATCTGTCATCCGGTCAATATCAACTGCGGGGGAAGATCGAACTAATGATCGGAACGAAAGCCGGAACTAAAGACAGATATTGCTAGTCAAATTTTGAAGTTCAATTTATCTTGTGTGTCTTTATTACTTCGCGAGGAATCGATGATCTCGGGACATCTCCGCTTGTATCCAGATATCTTCCTATCTCTCTATCTTGCACTCGTCGCCCCCTTTCTTTTACTCTGGCCCCCACCGACTACTCACGGTAAGACTTTCGACTCTAAAGAGCCTGTTGTAATTGCAAGACCTATGGAGCACCGAGGATATCGATTCTAGAGATCACATCCGGACTAGAGACCTTCTAGGCAATGAAGCTACGGCACTCTAAATGCAATTCAGAATGGATATAGAAGATTTCTGACTTATTTTGTTCTTGCTAGAGTGGTTGCGATGGGTTTCCCTCATCCTTGCTCCACCTTTGAGTAACAATGATCGAGCTGATCCAATTGGTGTTGACACTTTACTAACAAGCAATTCATTCAAAAACAAACTTCTCATCGGCCGATCCAGTCAACCAGATTTGTAGATCTCTGAAAGCGTCAAGGTCATTTTTCTCGAGCGAAATATCAATAGCAGGGTCGTGCTGGTGGCGGGTTTTATATAGATCGCTAACTAAGCGGCTTTCACTTCTAGGCCTCTATCCTCGGTTGGAACTTACTTGAGTTCCTCGAGATCGTCTAGCGCTTTTAGCGAATTTATTCGATTCGTCTATTTTCTAGAATATAATATGCCATCTTGCCGAACAAAAACCTAGACACAGGAAAATTTCATTTTGCCATCAATCCTTCTGAACGCCTCATTCTTCTGGATAACTTCCATATGTATGAGAGATATCAATTTTGTGGACCTAGGCTGACAAAAGAAGTGTCGAGTTGGCAGAAGAAAAAGATGGTCCATTTATGGGCTCTGCGGAGGTTTGCTAGACGGTAGCGGCACAACGCCGGCTCGCCCTGTTAAAGTTACGGGTGGAAAGACGGCCGTTTCTAGCGCTAAAAGTGGTCATTTTGGGCGTCATTTATTTTAATAGGTCCTCATATTCTATATGTAATTACGTGACAAGAAGAGAAAATAATAGGATAGGGGGTTGAATGAAAGGTTGTATACCTAAACTCCAGGTCAAATCTTCGAAGTTTTCGGACCGCTTTGTCCCTGGTTTACAGCTTTCCAAATAGCCGACATCGCACCATCAACTCCTTGTTGATTGACATCCTTCTCCAACCACAGAATCTGCTGTGCTATACAAACACGAACTAGCACCTCGGTCCCTGGAATAACCGTCCAGCCATTTCCCTTCCCGTTTGTATACAAATATGTCACCGGAGATGGGAGATAGCACATATCTAACACGATACCCTTGTCCTTCCTGCGCAGAATGGTATCGCAGATTTGGCGACAAGTAATCTCACCAGGTTCCCGAGGTATGTCGTTTGGAATCGTCCCAATAACAATATAAGGAGTCTCGCAGGTTGCAGCTTCCTCGACAGTAGCAAGATGTCGGAGTGTGATATCCGGTGCGGTCGATTGGAAGAAGGTGATCAATGCGTCTACTTCGGCTTTGAGACGGTTGGCAATGTAGATCTCCGTGGACCCAAACCATCTCCAGAGGGCAAAGATTGCACTTCTGGCAGCGCCTCCACCTCCAATCACCATAGAGGGGCGGCCGTTGGCTGTGGTTGCCGCGTGCGGCATTCGGTAGAGAATAGAATCACGAATGCCAATACAGTCTGTGTTTGTACCAATATGTCTTCTCTGTCCCCTCTTGTCAAGTCGAATAAATGATGTGTTGACGGCTCCAATCATGCGTGCCTCTTCGGTCAAACCATCGAGTAGGTGGCCAAAAGACACCTTGTTTGGCATCGTAATTGTGGTCCCAATGCATGTGTTGTCTTGTAATTGCTGTCGGAATATGTTGCTGTCGGTGGTCTCGGTGAGGTGAAATGACCACGAGGCTGAATTGGCGCGAAATAGGATCGAGTGTAGCAGGGGTGACAGCGATTTCGAAATATTTCCCCCGAAAAGATAGACATGATATGGAGTCACTGCTGCGTTTGATGGTAACGGAGAGCTTCCATGGGCATAGGACTGCTTGAGGAGATCCATGCTTTGGGGCTTGTAGCAGAAGGGGATTGGAGGGACTAAAAGCAGAAATAGATGAAAAGAATCCAAACCCCAGGGAGATATCTTACAGGATCGTGAAGGTTAAGCCCAGCCAACAACCCCGCATTCACGGCATTCTGATATATTGACCGGTGTCAAACGGAGAATCGTATATTCTGCCCAATGGCTCAAATATTTGGTGGCTAGTTCTGTTGAGAATCTAGAGGCTTTCTGCAAATCCAGAAACCTCAACTTCTGTCTCCATTATGGCAGAAAATTCTAAGGTTCGGGTCGCTCTCATCGGCGGAGGCACCATAGCTCCATTACACGCCGAATATCTCATGTCATCCCCAACATGTGAGCTAGTGGCAATTGTCGATCCGTACCCTCCGGGACGTGCATTGGCATCGACCTTGTCTCTTCTGCACTTCGAGTCTGTCGCATCACTTTTGAACTCGCAACAAAATCCGCCGGAGGCCTACGTGATCTGTGTACCTTCGAGCCTCCATGTTTCCATAGCCACAGACGTCATTCATCAAGCACAGCCAAAGGCCTTGCTCATCGAAAAGCCTTTCTGCACAGATTCAAAATCTGGAAGAGGGTTGGTCGGGCTTGCAAAGGAAAAAGGTTGCAAAATCCTCGTCGGACATCACCGTAGATTCCACCCCTCATTGTCAACTACACGGTCGGCGATTGAAGATGGGAAAATTGGGGAGATTACAGCGATCTCAGGGATGTGGACTGCGAAGAAAGATGACGCCTATTTTGATTTCGCTAGTTGGCGAGCGACGCGGTCCGCTGGAGGAGGGCCTATCTGGACGAACTTCGTGCATGATGTTGACGCCCTTCATTTCCTCACCGGTGCCAGGGTGACATGTGTCTGGGC